GGAGGCCAGTCCTCCTCCCATAAGCTTCTGCCAATGCAGCCCCCACCTGCGGAAGGGACAAGTGACCAACAAGCTCATTTGGAGTCATGACCCAGTCTCTGTTCAAGCCTTACGGAGCACTGGGGTTGGAGGCAGGGGAGCAAGTGAGGACTTAGAAGGGCGGGAGCTTGTCTGAGGAGTGAAGGCAGCTTCGTGGAGGAAGCAGTCTTAGAGCAGAAGAGATTGCCAGTTGGAGTGGGGCCAGGAGTGCTGATGAATTTTTAAGGAAGAGGGAATTGGGTGTGCAAAGGGCCAGAGGCATGGAGGATATGTAAGCAAAGAACGCTATCACTCAGGATGTCTGTGATTTGGACTGAATGGGAGGGGGATGAAGGACGGCATGGGCCAGATGAAATAGCATAGGTAGTTTATTTCTGACCAGATAGTGAGGAACGCCAGAACCAGGTCCACAAGTCTTCCCATAAAGGAAGGAGAGCCATTGAAGGGTCTTTGTATAGGAGCAACAGGACCAGATCTGTGTGTTCAAAGGACCATGTCTACCCACTCCACAAGCAAGCATGTAGAAGGTGGGTTGTTTCAAAGGGGTAGCGTCTAGAGGCTGGTTAGACCAGCAAGGTGGCTACTTCAGGAGTCCAGATGAGAGATGAGGGACTGAACTGGGCAGGGAGGAGTCTGGAACTTCTGACCCTCCCTCCAGCTCCATCTCCAGGGTACATGGTGAGGAAGAGGTAAGACTGGAGTTGCTGGGGGTGCTTGCCCTCCTCAAGTTTTGTTGTGTATGGGTCCAATCAGGCGAGGCTTCCTTGGACCAGAGGACAATCGCCATGAATTCACCTGCTAACACCTTCCGTTTCAGCCTCTTTCTTATATTAGCAGCCCACTGTCAGAGCATAATAAAAAGCCAGGGCCCTACTTTCTGGCCCCACCCTCTCAGAAGAGGAGCTGAGGTGAGGGGCCCCAGCTCTTCCCCGCGGTGTGGCAGGAGGAAGGAGAGAGGGGCTTCGAGGAGCAGGTCAGAGCCTGCCCTCTGTCAAAGGAAATAGCCACCTTCCTAAGCCTTTCAAAGACTGTTTTCTTCCAAGTAGGTCCCGTTGTTACCAGGGCAACCAAGAACCCTGGGCTTTGTGTTTCTGTGTCTGTGACCTCCCAGGGGGAGAAGTGGTCTGCAGAGCTTTCCCTCATCTAGGCAGGATGCAGGAACTGCTAGCCGGAGGTGGAGCCCCTTCCCCCATTCTGGGGTAAGCTCTTGCCTTGTTAATGCTTGTCCTCATCCCCTGGGAGGGGCCGAGGCCCCACAGGAGTCAGTTCTGGTGGTCAAGGGTAAAGGCTTCAACTCTGATGGACCTGGTTTCTCAGGGCCAGACTTCTGCACTCATACTGTCTCTCTGGAGGTGCATTGTGAGCAGGTACCCCGGAGGGGCGAGCTCGCACCAGACTATGGTGCATGTGGGGGGAGGAGGGTAGTCATTGCACAAACATTTCTTGATTACTTACTGTGTGCTAGTGTAGGATCTCTGGGCTGGTTCCTGCTCCAGGGAACTCTAGGGGAAGGCTCAGAACCCAACTGGCTGTTAAATGTCACCTGGGCTAGTTGGTCCCCAAAGCTCTCTTTTCTCCACCTGGCTGGGCTGGGCATTCGAATTGCCTAGGGAGCTTTTTAGAAATAGAAATTCCTGGAGATTCTGATTCCACCAGCGTGGATGTGAGTGGAGGGTGGAGGGTAAGGATCCTGGCTGTCTAACAGCTAGAGTTCACAGTTGAGCTCTATAAATGGAGCGAGTGACCTTGAGCTGCCAATTTCCTCCCAGAATGAATGAAGGGAACAGTGTGGCCAGCTTCACAGGCAGCAAGATTTTCTCTGCCTTTCTCCAGCCCTTGGAAACAGTTTTTATGATTCTCACCATCCTTGTCACTCTTCTACTGCCCCCACTCTTTCCTTCCCACTTTGTTTTATTCAAAAATTGACCTATTTTTGGCATGCAAAAGGGCTTCTGTGGCATGCAACCTGGTCACCTTCCCTTGGGCAGCCAGGACCCCAGGTGGGACCTGCCCATCTCCTGGATCCTGCATATGCTCTGTTGCAGCTGCCAGGAAGGCATGAGCATGTCTGGCAGCCTCCACAGTGTGCTGATTCATTCTGAGCCCCCATCAACTCGTGTTCAGATTTTTTTTTTCACAAGTTTCTTCTAAGCCACGTCTTCCCAACTTGGGCTTCTGCAGATGATTTGCTGAACATCACTGTAAGATCTCACATGTGCACCTCACAAAGGTCATCTTAACACATCCTTCCAGGTTAGAGAGATGTGGAGGGGGCTTCTCATTCCATTTTGGAGAGGATCTTCTAGTCCTCCAAACTCCCTGCCATCTGCAGATGCCCTTGGCAGACCGCCTCTAGGTCTCCATCCATTCACTAACTTCTTTGTTTAGGTACCATGCTAGGGTTGCGATCCTACTGTGTACCCAGCCGTGTGCTGGGCCCCAAGGTCTAGATGGATGAGGATATTGTGGCCTGAGCAGGAAAGGGACTCATACAGTGTCGCAAATCCAGGCAGCGGCAGGGCCGGACTGGAATCCAGAGCTCTTTTGCCTATATTCATGGGGCTGCTGGCTGCGGGGTTGGGCAAGGCTGGTGGGCCATGCATCACACAATCTGGGCCCACCTATCCCAACCTGAAATGGCATGTGAAAGTCCCGGGGTGCTGGGGACTTTACCTGACCCCCTGAAGCAGAAAGGGGAGCCTCAGTGATCACAGATGCCGCTCAGGGCCCCACAGCCCTTTCCCTCCCCAGAAGGGGCAGTCAGCCACACACTCAGGCATTCTCATCGGCATGAAACTCAGCCCTGCCACTAGCCTGCCTTACTCTGAGGGCCCTTCCCTGCCGGGCAGAAGTGGCTAGTTCTCCCAGAGCCTCCAGAGACAGTTCACCTGATGCATACCTAGTTGCTCTTGCCAAGACCCAGAATCCAGTCAGGCTGAGGCTTTAACTCGTCGGGGGAGAGCTTTCCTGGGAAATGACATGGGGTATCAGAGTTGAGAGTGTGTAGGTTTGGGAGTCACAAAGCCCCAAGTCCTCCATGGAACCTAATATCTCTGAAATTCAGGTTCCTCGGGTCTAAGAGAAGACATCATTACCTGCCTCCCTAAGGGTGGGAATGAAATGTGGTGAAAGTGCCTGGTACACAGTCAGAAACACACTGTTTTCCTCCTTCCCTCCCTCCCTTCCTGCCTGCCTGCCTTTCTTCCCCATAAAGAGGCAAAGCAAGTGCACCTTCAAAGCCGGGTGTCACTTCTCACCATATGCCTGGACAGTGGGCAGGGCAGGAGGGTGGACGGGCTGGACAGGAGAGACCCAGGAGACAGGAGGTCCTTGGAGGGGAGGCAGAGAGGGGTGATGCATCCCTGGAGGTGACCGATGGGCAGCTGCTGGGCTGTGACAGAGCCACTCACCAGCTGTCAACCTGGGGCCAGTGACTTCTCTCTAAGCCTCAGTTTCCTTATCTCTACAACGAGGGCAAGATGAACTGAGATAACGGATGTGAAGTGCCTGGCAGAGCCCCTGTACCTAGTAGGGGGCTCAGTGAATGTTCCCACCCACTGTCTCGGGGCAGGGAAAAATCCAACTCGTGGCTGGGAAACTCAAGCAAATCCCAGAATGAGATTCAGTTTCTTCTGACCCCATAGTCTATGAGGAGCAGTGAAATCTTGCTTGGAGGGTGTCCGTGTGGACTGTCCTGGGGATGCTTGAAAATCTTCGGCCGCTTACTCACTGGTGTCCCATAGCACCATCTAGTGCCAAGAAGTGGAAGAGCCCCCCCAGCCCCCCACCCCCGCCCTCCTCCAGCCCCTCCACAACTTCCCCAACGTGGCCTCCCTCCTTCCCTCCAAAGTTCTGTGTGTGTGTGTGTGTGTGTGTGTGTGTGTGTGTGTGTGTGTGTGTGTGTGTGTG